CACCGACATTCAGATAGGTATATAATATTCAGTCCACAAAATAAACAAATAACAATATAGCATTAAAACTCTGCATTCATTGGTTAAGCGTCAATAGCCTTATGGTTAAGGGTACGGATTTCTGATCACGAGGTCGGTGGTTCGAATCCCGGTATTCGACTATTGTCGTAAACCATATCCTAGCACAAACCTAGAGCTTAGTTGGCATGGTAAAAGAAATATTAGTAAATTAAAAAAAAAATGGTTATTCGAATTGTTATATACAAGTGTACATAATTTATTGAAGAGCGTCGGTGGCTCAGTGGTCAAGCACTTGACTTGCAATCTGCAGGTCCTGGGTTCGAATCCCGCCATGTACCAATGTGTCTTTCGATTTCTGATTTACATATGTACATTTATCCGACGTTACAATGAAATAAAACATCGTGATGCTGCACATATCTGAGAAAGTCAAAGATATGTGTCAAGTCAACCCGCACTTGGCCAGCGTGGTTGACTATGGCCTAATCACCCTTAACTTAAGGTAGGCTCCGAGACCTTCAATGGGGACGTATAATGAGCTGATGATGTACATAATTTAAGAGAAATTATAATTTATAGTTTGTTTAAAAAGGGATGAGAGAAAATTATATATCTTCTTCATAGCGTTTCTTCATAGCTTCATTCGTCCGTTAAATTCACTTCTCCTTCCCGTTATAATAGCGTTCGAAAAAGGTTAAGACTTTTATCAAGACGATACTGTACTTTCTATATGTTCATAACTCTATATTCCATATCATTAATACGTTTACAACGCAGGTGTTCTATCGTATACTAAAATTTTAGATAACGTTTGATAAAATTACATACCCAAATATTAATCACACTTTTTTTTACAACACTAGTTGTAACCCGCGACTCAGTCTGCGCGGAATTCAAATTGCCTATGTGTTCTTCCAGACTGTATTCTATCATCATCATCATCAGCTCATTATACGTCCCCACCGAGGGGCTCGGAGCCTACCCTAAGTTAAGGATGATTAGGCCATAGTCAACCACGCTGGCCAAGTGCGGGTTGGTTGACTTCACACATATCTTTGAATTACTTCTCAGATATGTGCAGCATCACGATGTTTTCCTTCACCGTAAGAACATCGGATAAATGTACATATGTAAATCGGAAATGGAAAAACACATTGGTACATGGCGGGACTCGAACCCAGGACCTGCAGATTGCAAGTCAAGTGCTTAAACCACTGAGCCAACGACGCTCTGTAAATTGGTTTAAACATACATATAGACGGTCCAATTATGTTATTTAAATATAGCTCTCGTGACTGTTAGATTTTGATTTCGCCAGTCAGACATTAACTTCAGATTGCCTTTTACTAGTAATAAAAACGCCAAGTAATAAATAAAATTAAAAATTAATTTTTAAACATATCGTTTTTCAATATTACATACATACTAATCTTACTAATATTATAAATGTGAATGTTTAAATGTATGTTAGAAGATATCTCCAGAACTGTTGCATGGATCTTGATGAAATTTGTCATACATATAGAACATAGTCTGGAAGTACACATAGATTACTAATTAAGATTTTTTCTAATTCCGTTCCGATTAACATATATACATTTATCCGACGTTACGTTGAAGGAAAACATCGTGATGCTGCACATATCTGTGAAGAAATTCAATGTGTGAAGTCAACCCGCACTTGTCCAGCGTGGTTGACTATGGCCTAATCATCCTTAACTTAGGGTAGCCTCCGAGACCCTCAGTGGGGACGTATAGTGAGCTGATGATGACTAATTCCGTGCGGACGCAGTCGCGGCCAATAACAATATTGTTAATATATTTATTCTTTGAAAAATAACGTATTTTCTTATAAAATGAATTCACAAAGGACAAAGAACTGAATAAGTTAATAAGTATAATACTTTGATAGCATGCTGAAAGAAAAAATAGTTTTTATTAAAAGATTTAAGAATAGTGTTAGGAATAAAATCCGACACAGTGCCGGTGTATCGCAACACTAGTCTTATTAAAATATCAACGTTTATGTCCCCTCACTACATCTGACACAAGACTTTGTTACGAAAGCGCGCTTGCGTCAAATGATTTTAACTATTAATTTCTAAAACTAGATGTAAATGTTTTCAATATCTTATATATATAAAAGAAAGTGGTGTTATTTACAATATTTATAACTCAAGAACGGCTTTACTGATATGCCTGAAAATTGGTGAGGAGCTTAGAGCCAGGAGACGGACATAGGATATTTTTTTCGAATTTTTTGCCTTGAAGAGCTGCTTTTTAATTAACTTGTCTACATATTAAGTTTTTTTTATAAATTTACTCGGACGGAGTCGCGGGCGACAGCTAGTAATGTATGTAATGATAAGGTTTAAAAGTAATTTTGCATTTAAAAAATAGCAAAAAGCCAACATCACGCGGTGTTCCCAGGCGGTCACCCATCCAAGTACTGACCGCGCCCGACGTTGCTTAACTTCGGTGATCGGACGAGAACCGGTGTATTCAACGTGGTATGGACGTTGGCGAACGTTACAACACATTTTAGGAACAGATCATATGTATTAGAAATAACACCTAATAGGCTCCCCCTACTATCCCCTTCAAGTAACTTCCCCCTCCGCCCCTAATAGACATCGTCCGCGTAGTATTAAAATAACTTAATAAGTAATCTCTGTGTTCTTCCAGACTATGTTCTATATGTATGACAAATTACATCAAGATTCATGCAACAGTTCTGGAGATATCTTCTAACATACATTTAAACATTCGCATTTATAATATTAGTAAGATTTATTTCATTAAAAGTAAACAGACAAAATTAAGAATTTCGTGTTAGAAGCTTTTTAAATCTTTGATAATAGATGGCGCTGATTGGTAAAAATATAAAATCAGATTTTAACGGAATATTCTTGTGTTCTCATTTATCACATCTAGATGGCGCTGTTAACAAAAAGACGTTTGATTAAAAAAAATCTTGATTTCAATGCAATTTGAGCAATTTTAAACTTTTGTTAAAATATAAAATTAAAGAAAAAAATTATTAAGTAATTTTTTTATCTGATTTTGTGTATTAAAAAGTTTGACTTTAACTAATTTACAATTTCGATTGCATTATCGTGGGGTTCCGTGGTGTAGTGGTTATCACATCTGCTTTACACGCAGAAGGCCGCCAGTTCGATCCTGGCCGGAATCATATCTTTTTGCGGCTTTCGAAACATTCATACTTCGATCTAGAATTTAAAAATTATTCTATTTTTAATATAAAGTAATTTAAAGACACTATTTTCTTTGTATCATCGTCAAATTGTAACAAAAAAACAAAATTAAAAAATTTATATATGTACCTACAACTTCGCGTTAATCCGAGTTATCTGACACGACTGCACTGATTTTTCCGAGACTTAAAGGTGATGCATGGAGGAGCAACATTCTGACGATTTCACGGACAACATGACTTACTTAACTTAAAGTCCTATATCCCCGTAGTGGTGCAGAGGACATCCACAGTACGCCGCAAGTTCGCTCTATCTTGGGCTCAGTCTCTGGCCATGTCATCCCGCTTGTCATGTCAGCAGCTACTGAGCGCCGCCAAGTTTAGGCTACGTCTTCTTGTTCCTAGCATCCATTCCAGAGTCTCCCTGGGAATATGACTGGGATCCCGACGATGACAACATGATAATATTTGATCTGTGATTACCACACTTTAAATATAGTTTAAGTGTTAGAAATCTACACTAAGGGACTTTGAGTAAGGCAGTAACTTTAACATCAAATTTAACCCTCGTCTTACTAATATAAAAGCGAATGTTTAGATGTATGTTTGTTTGAAGATATCTCCAGAACAACTCAACGGATCTTGATGAAATTTATCAGACATATAGAACATAGTCTGGAAGAACACATAGACTACTAATTGTCGTACCGTTGACTACTTTATTGTTTAATTTCGCAGACGCTTTCACGGGGTTCCGTGGTGTAGTGGTTATCACATCTGCTTTACACGCAGAAGGCCGCCAGTTCGATCCTGGCCGGAATCATATCTTTTTTCCTTTTCAAATATTTACTAGAGTACAAAAACTAATTATTTAAAATTTCTATTTCTAGTAATACTAAGATCTAATATTCCTCTTTCCGTTCAAACCATTTTTATTTTAAGTAAAGGATGGGAAGTGGATTTTCCGGATGATGCATGGGAAGGGAAAATATTCTCTTTCTGTGCGCCCTCCGTATATTAAAAGTAGGCAACGCATTTGCAATTGCCTCGTTATTTACACACTTACACTTCGTTATTTCAGAAGGGCTAGACAAAGCCCATTCGTTACAAAGCGATTCCATAGCGAACAGAAGCGTATAGAACTGACGCGCGACAACCTCATGACATATCCAAAGTTATTGTCAGTTCTATACATGTTAGAAGTTCGTTATGGAATCACTTTGCCTAACCTCTCTGAAATCCGTGAAATAACGAATCGCTGACCATATACATCTTCATTACTGAAGGTGGTGCTTGTCTTGACACGCTTTAACGCTGTGTCGACCAGCTACCTCCACGCCGTCTTGTCTTCGGCTTGTCTCAGTGCAGTCGTGATATTGAGTCCCAATATAGCCTGCACTTAATCGGACCATAGACATACGCAATTACAGATGTCTCCCTTTAATCTAGGGATGCACAGAAAGAGGATATTTTACCTTCCAATGCATCCCATCCAGAAAATCCACTTCCCATCTTTTACTTATAAGAAAATGCACTTTGTCTGACCCCCATGTAGTCGTTTGCGGTATGAATCTCATAGTAATTAAGGGTCATTTTAAACTTTAAGATAAATAAAACAGTATCTTTTTGTAAATCGTTTATTTAAACTATGTTATTCTAACTTAACCTATACTTAGCTCGCTTGTTACAAGTTAAAAATAATGAACTTATCAAGTAATAATATATTACAATAGTAAAACAGATGTTTTTTAAACGAAATAGTTTAAAAAACTTATTTTATAAACTTATTTGCAACGGCTTATAAGCGAAATACAGTCAAACCAAGATAGTCGCGGACTGGATAAGCGAGAAACCTATATAAGCGAGTCTGCCCGGTCCCAATCACACTCCATAAGCGAGAAACTTCAGTTAAAGAGAAACCTTTATAAGCGAGAAATATCGCGGTCGCCTGGACTTTGGCTGGATGAGCGAGAAACCTCTATAAGCGAGAGTCTTCACCCGGTCCAAATCAATCTCAATAAGCTAGAAACTCTGGTAAAAGAGTAACCTCTAGAAGCGAGAAGAATATTCCGGTTTCTTGGACATGCACTGTATAAGTGAGAAACCTCTATAAGCGAGAGTCTTCACCCGGTCCAAATCAATCTCAATAAGCAAGAAATTCTGGTAAAAGAGAAATATTGCGGTTTCTTGGATTCTGGCTGGATACGCAAGAAACCTCTATAAACGAGTCTTTACCCGGTCACACTTACACTCCATAAGCGAGAAACTTGGTAAGAGAAACCTTTATTAGCGAGATAATATCGTGTTTGGACTCGCTTATTACCATATATATATATCGATTATATATTTTACTAAATGTAAATAAGAATTGAACAGAATTAACACTGTGTTAAATTTCACGTTAGTTGACGTAATTTATAATACATAATTATTTTATCTCGCTCTAACTGCGTATACATCTGTCTCGTTCTCGCTATAAGCCGTTACAAATAGTTTTACAGTACAAAAATTAAAATAAACAAAAATAATTACAAATTTCGCCGGCGAAGTTTAAACAGGATTATTTTGGTTAGTTCTTTGTTAAAAAAACTCAGTTATGTATTTTAAATTTCTGACTATATCATAAAATTATGGGTTAAAATTATCGTTTTTATTTCTCTTTTTATCATTTACAGCATAATATATATCAAAGAATTACGGTTTATTAAATTTATTATATTTTTATATGTTGTTTGCTTATCTATTAAAATATACCATATGTAAACATGTACAAAATGTTGTCTGTGGTCCATGAATTTTTATTAAACGTTCCAAAAACATAAAAAACGCTTATTTAGTCTCTACGGAGAGTAAAATTATTACTGTGTTATGTTAAAAAAATCGAAATATTTGATAAAAGTATTGCATTGCGGGTTCAAGTATTTATACATAAATATATAATTTTAAAATGAAAAACAGTGTAACCTGAATAAGCGAGAACTCGGGTTACGAAGAAACCTCTATATACGAGAAACTCGGGTTAGAGGAAAACCTCTATAAGCGAGAAACTCGAGTTAGAGGGAATCCTCTATAAGCGAGTAACTCGGGTTAAAGAGAAACCTCTATATACGAGAAACTCGGGTTAAAGAGAAACCTCTATAAGCGAGAAACTCTAGTTAGAGAGAAACCTCTATAAGCAAGAAACTCGGGTTAGAGAGAAACCTCTATAAGCGAGAAACTCGGATTAGAGAGAAACCTCTATAAGCGAGAAACTCGAGTTAGAGGGAAACCTCTATAAGCGAGAAAACTATTGTAGTCGCTTGGATTCTCGCTTATCCTGGTCCGACTGTATTTCGTTACGTAATCGCCGGCGAAATAATAGAAAATCCCACAGCCGCGAAGACTAAGCATTATAATTAACTTAAATGAAATGCTGTACCCGTTGCCTACTTAAGTCGATTTTTTTTTATAAATAATCAATAGTTTTTGTTTTTTTTTCTTATATTTTCTTAAAAGCTGTCTACACTAAAGCTAAATAATCTATGCCTTTAAAAAACTTGTATACACATCGTATACAAAGAAAAAATTATTCACACTTAATATATCGATTGTAAAAACGATTAAAATTTACATTATTGCCAATATACTGGTGAGGTAACTAATAGGCAATTTTTTTATACAAAAAAATCTTTTTAAGGTCACAAGTAGGTTTAAATAAAATTTTGCAAAATTTTTTTTCAAATCTCGATTTAAAAAAAAAATTGGCAGAAAGACAGATTGACTTTTGCCTTTTTATATATTTAATTTGACATCTGTCAGAAATTGGGCGGTAATTTTGAATGCAAAATTGATGTTTTATTTTACAATCAAATTTTAATTTTTAACAGAAAAATCAGTTAAAATATTCATTCACCTCAATAATATATATTTTCTGTTTAAAACTATTATAAGTTTTGTATTACATACGTATGAAATACAAAAAAAATGACATAGAGGATGTTAAAAAAATGCAAAAAAAAATTGCAAAAAATTTAAGAGCACAATATAAATATTCTTTTCAAATTTTGTACTTGTTTTAAAGACCTAAAGTTTTTTTTTAATTAAAAAATAACTGGCTTTCAAGTCAATACCTAATTATAAACATAACTTATATACAAGCTATAGATAAAAAATATATGAACATATTGCACAATATCGCGTTTGCGGTAAAAAAAAAAGAAAATCATCAGTCACTTTTTCAATAATATTTTAAATTCTAAAAGAAATATGTCATTTTATTTCAAACTCACGACTCGTTTAGTTGATAAAAAAAAATTGAGCTACAAACCTAAAAATAAAAATCTAGTAATAGGCTTACTCGGGGATAGTGTAGCTTAACTTTAAAAGAATTTTTCTAATAGATGCAACAGTTTTTGAGCATATTCACTGTAAACACAACTTTCCTATTTATTTTAGTATGGAAAACTAAAAAAAAAAATCTTGTTTTCTTCATAGCTACCTATCCCTAAGTTTACAGGCGTGAGTATGCTAAAATTTAGATATTTTTAATGACATATCTCTTTCCGATTAGTAATAATAATGAAATGACGTCATATTAACAAAGCTTGTTGTATAGCTGTAATAATGACGTCATTATTCAATAACATGTTATAGTGCACGCATTGTTTTATCGTTCGTGTTTTGGAAAATTCTATTTTATATTAAAAAAAAAACCACTAACCACACTCTAAATAAAAATGGAATTTTGTCGTTTTATCACATTTAGAAAAGAAAAATATTTTTTTTTTCCAACAATTACAATTTTCGATCCTATTTCTTATGTAAGTTGACACAAGAAATAAAAGAAAACACTGGTTTAAAATTACTGCAAAATATTTTCGCATCACTGGTATTTTATAAACTGGCGAATAAATTAAAAAAAATGCCTATTATCGTGATATGAACATTTTTTACACGCGGATAATGGAACACGCTATGTTTGGAGTTCTAATTATTTTGGTGATCCAAGCAAATATAAAGTCCAACCAGTTAGACAAGACACTTCTATTGAGTTTATTTCCTATTATTTTGTGAGTTTAAAATGTAAAAAACATTTATAAAGGTATCAAAAGGCTGTAATTAGTTATTTTAAGAAATTATCATTTAGATTTCTAGACATTTTTATACTGTTCAATCTGTAAACAAGCCAATTTACAAATGTAAAATCCAATTTATAATTGTAAAATCCAATCATTCTTTGTTTAAATTTTTGTAAAATTCATTTATTCATGTAAACAACCAGTTTCATTCGTAGTGCTTCGTTTTTCTGTCCATATCATCATCAGTCCTGTTAATAGGATGGTCATGGTGCATCTTCGGCACCAGAACTACATTACCATCCGCGGCTTGTTGTAGAGAATATTGATTTGAAGATAATGGTCTGCCATCAGGATCACGAAGGTTCTAGAACAATCGATTAAAAATCTAAATAAGTAGGCTATGAGTTCTTCCAGACTATGTTAAGCAGTTTGTCCTGTGTTGTAATCCCGTCAGGTATGAATGTGTTACATTTACATAAGTACATTTATCCTATGTTGTTACGGTGAAGGAAAACATCGTGATGCTGCACATATCTGACAAACTCAAACATTTGTGTCAAGTCTTGCACTGGACCAGCATTCACTATCACATACTCTCACTTAGGGGAGGTGCAGAGATCCTCAGTGGGGACCTGTAGAGCTGATGATGAATACTAACCTGGAATACATGGCGGTACAGTGCCGCGAACCTTTCCTTGACGCGTTGTCGCTCCGCTTGCAACGCGCTGTGCTCGCGTTGAGTACGCGCTTTGCGGTCGCGTACAGTGCGTACTTCATCAGCCAGTGATGTGATTTGATCCAGTTTACGTTTGCGGCAGTTCTGAGCTGCCACCTATGACACAAGTTTAATAAAATTAGTATGTAATAATATCGCAAAAAATCCTATATTTAATATATTTCCGTTGCAGATATTGAAAAATCAGTTTTTAAAATTTTGTCTGTATGTCTGTAAGGTCGCGTTTGTTCCGGATAATCTCCGGAACGCGTGGACCGATTTTCATGGGACTTTGGAAGGTAGCTGACGGCCGAGAGAATGTTATAGCCTACTTTTTTATATTTCTTTTACTTATTGTTGGTTTCTGAGACCAAAATTCTTATATACAACTAGCTGTTGCCCGCGACTCCGTTTGCGCGGGATTATAAAATAGATGTTGGCCGATTGTCAGAGCTACTCAATATGCTCACAAAATTTCATGAGAATCGGTCAAGCCGTTTCGGAGGAGTATGGGAACGAAAATTGTGACACGAGAATTTTATATATAAGATATACTCTGTCTTGTCAAAGATGAGAACGTTGACGATATGCTTTATACAGATTCCTTATTTTAGTAACAGAAACCAACAATTAGTGAACTATAAACCACTTAAGAGAGCGCTTAGAGAGCGTCGGTGGCTCAGGGGTCAAGCACTTGACTTGCAATCTGCAGGTCCTGGGTTCGAATCCCGCCATGTACCAATATGTTTTTCGATTTCCGATTTACATATGTACATTTATCCGACGTTCTTACGGTGAAGGAAAACATCGTGATGCAACCTGCACATATCTGAGAAGAAATTCAAAGATATGTGTGAAGTCAACCCGCACTTGGTCAGCGTGGTTGACTATGACCTAATCACCCTTAACTTAGGGTAGGCTCTGAGCCCCTCAGTGGGGACGTATAGTGAGCTGATGATGATGATGATGAAACCACTTAAAATGAGGAATTATGTAACATTTACATTTTATTACTCTAGCTACTAAATAAGTAACTCTAACTATGATACCTTACCTTGTTCTTACCACGACGACGTATGTCCCTGATAAGAGACAGTTGGGCTTCACTCAAATCATGTTTGGAAAGACGCTCGTTGAATTCATCCATTGGTAGATTGATAATATCGTGCACTTCCAACGGAATACCTAAAGATAATTATACGTAATAATATTATAAATGCGAATGTTTAGATGTTTGTTAGAAGGTATCACCAGTACCGCTGCATAGATTTCGCTGGAATTTGGCATAGATGCAGAACATAGTCTGAAAGAACACACAGACTACTAAGTCTTTTTTAATTTAGCGCGGACAGAGTCTTGTGCGACAGCTAGTAATATTATAAATGCGAATGTTTAGATAGACATATCTAGAACTGGTGCATAAATCTCTATAAAATTTGGCATATATATTATAGAACATAGTAAGAACACATAGACTACTAATTAAGTTTTCTTTTAATTCCGCGCTGACGGAGTCGCGGGCGACAGCTATATGCAAAGTAAACAGAAGGTGTAAAAGTATGATTCAAGTTTGAAGGTCAGATCGTATTTATTATGACGTGATAATCTTTGAACGTTGACCGGAAAGTCTGACTCATTGTTGTGAGTCGAGTGAGAGACGAGATCCGTCTATGCGTTCAAACGACGTATCTATATGTTTCTAATTTCATATGATATAATTATGTTAATTCTTTAATATTTTCCTATGATATTACGTGAAATTATCGTCAGATAATCGACATAACAGAGGACCAATTTATATTTAACTCCTTTTACAATTTTAAATCCTGTATCGATACGTCTATCTTTTTGGCTTATTCATTATGATTTCAAGTGTTATACGGATTTTTTTAAACGATTCGATCTAAAAATAAGATTGATAAGAAATAATTATAAATATTTTCTTTAATTAACTTTTGCTCTGATAATTATTTGTTGTTCAAAAACTACAGTACGGTAAAAAAGTAAAATTCAGTAATTTTACAATTGTAAATGGAAAGTTTTTGCTCGTAACTAAATGCACGCGGAATTAAAATGTTATTATAAATATACCCTATATTAGTCTGGAATAATATTACTTTTTAATAATAAAAGAATTATTTAAATTAGTCAAGTAGTTTTTGAGTTTATTAGTTACATACAAAAGTTCAAGTTCCTCTTTTTGTCCCATTCGGCGTCGAGACCCTTGATCCGTGGGGTCCTAGCGCTTTAAGACTTTTTAAGGACATTTCCAAAAAATTAATCGACATCACAGGGGACCGAAGAGCTGGCAGCTACCTCGGTCAAAGAATTAGTTTAGCTGTCCAAAGGGGGAACGCTGCCAGTATCTTCGGGACCTTGCCTAAAGTGACTCCTTTTAATAACATATTTTAGTGAATTATTCGTTTTTTTTTTAATATTTTATTTAGTTCCTCTTTATAATATATGGCATTTCTAATTATATTTATTTAAAAACCTATGTATTGTTAAGAAAGAAAAGACACAGTGCCGGTGTATCGCAACACTAGCCTTATTAAGATATCAACGTTTATGTCTCCTCACTACATCTCACACATGACTTTGTAACAAAAACGCGACATTCGTTCAATGATTTTAACTAATAATTATGTAAAAGTATATACTTTAAATATGTAAAGTTTTTATTAGACACTCACCCAGTGCCTTAGCGCGTTTCTCATCTCTCGACAGATGCTGTGAACTTGTCGACCCGCCATCCGAAGTACTACCATCCGTCAACCTTCGAACTGTAAACATACTTTGTTACCTCGTGTTAATACTAGAAAGCCGATTATCCGAACCGAATCGGAATCGGTACTAAACGTAATATAAAAATTAAATCCAAGTAATTATAGAGCATCGGTGGCTCTAGGGTTAAGCACTTGACTTGTAAACTACAGGTGCTATGTTCGAATCCCGCTATATATTGTTACGGTGAAGGAAAACATAGTCATGCTGCACATATCTAAAGTCAAAGATATGTGTGAAGTCTTGCACTGGACCAGCATTCACTATCACATAGTCTCACTTAGAGTAGGCACAGAGACCCTCAGTAGGGATCTATAGTGAGCCGATGAATTTTTGACTTCGTATTCTTGTTAAGGTCTGATGGGATTCAAGGTAACGTTATTTTAAATTATAAAACTGTGTGAATCTATCCCGTCCCCAATTTATTAGGATAATCGGCGTTTTACATTTATAAATGGATTTTTCGAGATATAAATTTACAATAATCTAACTCAGGTTATAAACGAAATATTGCCATCTAATAGCTTTATATTAAAACTTCGCAAAATATATATATATATATTTAAAAAAATGATAACGAGTTAAATTTGAACTTCTTCACAAAATAAATCGAACGACACTTAAAATTTGTGTACTTGATTCGGCTCTAGGCTAGTATAATGTAATTTTATATATACATAAAAAAGACATTTATATGTGTAAAACATTTATCATCTTGTCAATTAGTTTGTAAATGCATTTTACAAGATGTAAATTTTACAATAATAAATGGATAGTTATGGTTTTAAAAAGCGATTATCGGCAAATTAAGTTTTTTTTCACTACTTTTATATGAGTTTATATATTCTTTTGTAACATCCTATAACCTAAAGATGTCAACCAAATTTGACGTATGATGTGTCATTCGATTGGTATTCTTCCAAAGAGTGTCATAGATGTACAGTTGGTGTTTTTTTTTGTTATTTACCTAATAAACAGTGTTATTTACTAACCTCGTTTGTCTCTAGTGACATGTCTTTCAGCGGGAGGCTCGAGAGCACTGTAAGTGTGGTTATGACGAACGCGCTCACCGCTTACGTAGCGACCGGGGCTTGGTACGTTTGACTGAAAAATCACATATGTCTATCACTTTCCCACTTATAGAAAAACGTATAGTATGTCCTTGTCTTTGATATCACTACGACTGATTGACACGTTCGATTTATAAAATACATCTATCTGTCTCTTTCCCACTTATATGAAGTAGATATAGTTTTCTCATATGTTTTATTTGACTGTTCATACAATCATCTGTCTCTGTCACACCTATACGATTTTGTAGTCCTTCTCTTTCATATGCTTCAAGAAGACTAACATAAAAACGTGCTTATAAATTACAGATTCATTATATCATATCAACTGTCTCTTTCACATCTATAGGGCATAGGCATATACTCCATCTCTGTCATATCAATAACCAAAGGAAATAAATCAGAGTTCACATTTCAATGTTTACCTGTAAAAGCGCATGGCTGGAATGAGCTGCGTTCAAGTCTAGACTGGGCTGGATTACAGGCGCGTGCGGCGCCATCTGACGTGCGCTGTAGTCTACTGTAGAATAACGAAACTTTTTAAAATACCTACGAAAAGTAGTATTTGCATAAGTTCCTTCACTTGTTAGGTTATGTTAGGTTAGGTTTTAGAAGATCTTTTGACAAATCTGACTACCCTCAAAGTAAATTAACATCAAAATTAGCTTTCTTACTTAATCGGAACTGATTAGGACCACTAACACAATTATATCTTACCCTACTAATTTTATAAATGCGAAAGTTTAGATGGATATTTGTTTGAAGATATCTCCAGAACGGCTGTATGGATCTTGCTGAAATTTGTCATAGACGTAGAACATATTCTGGAAGAACACATAGACTACTTATTAACTTATTCTAGGCTAGTACATTAGTTTCTAAGTCTACTTACTATTATGCATTTGCAAATCGTGATGGTAAGTCTGTTCAGGGCATTCATATTTAACGACGCTGGGGGTGCGAGTTAACGGCTCCAAGTTTGTTGTTGGTTGCTCCTAAAAAGTTAAATATTACGTTAAACGAGAGAGAAAAAAGTAATACAAAGAGAAGAAAGAAGATAACTATTTACCTGGAAGCATCTTTTGCCGAACATATGGTGTTTCTTTTGTGGTGGATGAGATCTTTCTCTGGAGTACGCAGCATCGTATGGTCGGAATTTTGAACTGGGGATGAAGTAAAAATAATCACATATATTAAAAGTAATAAAAAATTAAAAAAAGAAAAAAAAAATCAATCAAACTTCATTGCCAACAAAGAGAAAATATTCTAAGACAAAGAGTTATAAGCGTCGGTGTCTCAGTGGTCAAGCACTTGACTTGCAATCTGCAGGTCCTGGGTTCGAATTCCGCCATGTACCGATGTATTTTTCGATTTCCGATTTACATTTGTACATTTATCCGACGTTCTTACGGTGAAGGAAAACATCGTGATGCTGCACATATCTGAGAAAAAATTCAAAGATATGCGTGAAGTCAACCAACCCGCACTTGGCCAGCGTGGTTGACTATGACCTAATCACCCTTAACTTAGGGTAGGCTCCGAGCCCCTCGGTGGGGACGTATAGTGAGCTGATGATGACTGATGACTGAAGAATTATAATAGCAAAAAGTAAACTAGGTTTGCGGACTAAAAATCTAGATGCTATAGTTTTTTTTAACCCTTTTTCCTAAATATAATAATTATCCATGACATAAATGATGTACTGAAAGTATCTCCAGAATGGACTATCTCTCTGGCTCTCCTCTCCGCTGGCTCTCCTATATGTTCTTACGGACTATAGAACATAGTCCGGAAGAACATATAGGCTAGTAATTTAAGACAATATTAGTTAAAATCATTTGGTGCGAATGACGTGCTTTTGTTACAAAGTCCAGTGTCAGAATGAATATTAAAGGGACATAAACGTCGATATTTTAGTAAAGCTTGTGTTGGCTCAATACACTGACACATTTTCGGATTTTTTTCCTAACACTAATTAACAACTTTTGTTACCTGTGGAACTCCTGAGCGGAATCATTGCCGTCGCACCATTCACCGTCAGACAGAGAAGGGACTCTCTCGGAGCCCATAGAAGACACCGCACTGTCCGAAGCAGAATCACGCTCTGTTAAAAATAATAGAAATAAATGGACTCGAAGGACCAAAAGTAATTATTTTGACAAAATTAAGATCCGTCTAAAGAAGAAATTTAATTCTATATATATTAGTTTGAGTTTCCAACACCACTACCAATCGTCTGTCAGCGCGATGGTGAAAATCAATTAGGCACAAAATATCATTCTTTATAGCCAGTGGATTGTGCTCACATTTTGTTAATTTACTTATATTCTTGTACCACTTCAAGTAAGCTTTAAACTTGTGTTATTGTTTACGACGTCGAATGGCGAGATTCGAACTCTTGTGATTGGGTATCCGTACCTGTAACCATTAGGTTAGAGGCGCTCTGGTCAGTGGATTTTACGCTAACTAATATTGTAAATGCAAATATTTATGATATATGTTTGTTAGAAGATATCTCCAGAACGGCTGCATGGATCTAGTTGAAATTTGGCATACATATAGAACACATTGGCTACTTACTAGCAACTATATTATGAACTTACCAGTTGCCACAGTCATATGGGAGTGGTTGTGTGGAGGAATATGAGGTGCTCCATCCAACATACGCATAGTATACATTCCTGGAACAAAGATATAAAAACAATATAGCATCAAATACAAAACAAAGAAACAAAAACTACACAAAAATGTAGAAGAATTATACAAGAGTCCTAAATACGTCAATAGGAAGCTGACAGAATAACAAACGAAATATGTTTTTACATACAAGGAGTTCAATTTTATAAATAAACATCACGGCAATCCGTCCGTGAGGAATTAAAAAAAAACTTAATATTAGCCTACGGGCTCTTTCACACTATGTTTTACATGACTTTCAGCAAGATCCATACCAGACGTTCTGGCGATATCTTCTAACAATCATCCATCCATCCATTTAAACATTATCATTTATAACATTAGTAAGACTAGCAGTCAGAATTAAAAAAAAAAATTAATTAGTAGCCCACGTTTTCCAGACTATGCTCTACAGCAGTGGTTCCCAAACTTATTTTGTCTACTGCCCACTTGGAGAATAAATATTTTTCTAGCGCCCCCATATTTTCACATATTTAAAAACCACTATAACTTCAAATTAAATTAATTAATTATTGTGACCTATATATGTATATTAACAGAGAATTCTAAACGAAACTTTTACTATAACCCGCAACTTGAGACCTGCAGCGCCCACAAGGGGGCGTTATCGCCCACTTTGGGGAAGACTGCTCTACCTATACCAAATTTCAGTAAGATTCTTTCAGCTGTTCTAGGGATACCTTCTAACAAACATTACATTACATTCGCATTTATAATATTAGTATGATATACGTGGGAACTAATTTGTATCGGAGTGACCGACAAAAATTTATTGCGTCGCCTGATAACGTTATCAATATAAAAGTGAGTTTATGATGATTTTTACTTTTAAAGGCTTAATCTTTAAAACATACTGACAATATGTTATCAGAACTTCTTAACACATGGAATGATGCTACGATTTACACATATGACTAGCATGTACTAAGCGCGATACTATCGCGTTTAGTTGACACAAGATAACTACTAAAAGAGCGTCGGTGGCTCAGGGGTTAAGTAGTCGTCTTGCAAGCAAATCCTGTGTTGTAATCCCGTCATGTAGCAATGTGTTTTTACATATGTACATTTATCCTATGCACAGTGAAGGAAAACATCGTGATGCTGCACATGTCTAAAGTCAAAGAGATGTGTCAAGTCTTGCACTGAACCAGCATTCACTATCACATAGTCTCACTTAGGGTAGGCGCAGAGACCCTCAGTGGGGACCTATACTGAGCTGATCATCATCATCATCAACCTGCCCTTATCCCTATCGAGGGTCAGCACAGTATGTACTCCTCCATACATCTCTATCAGCCGTCATATACGAGTCTACCCCCTTCCTAGGCATATCCTCTTTCACACAGTCATTTCAAACTATTTTTGGTCTTCCTCTACCCTTGTAGCCATCCACATTCAATCTCATTACTTTTTTGCTTATATCATCATCATCCCTCCACATAACATGTCCAAATCACGCTAATCTTTTACTCCTCAATTTCTCGATCACTGGCGCAACTTTCAAACTTCCTCTAATATACACTTTTTAAACTTTATCCTTCCTTGTCCTGATACTGAGTGAAATGTCATAAGTGCATAACATAAACCAAATGGCATTTATAGAAATGCTATTCAATCGTTTACTTGTATGACAAGTATATTTTATTATCAGCTATATTTTCCACAAATGTATAGATAAAACTATATTTTGACTACATGCTTAAACACGATTATATCTAGAATTTTTGAGGATACGATTAATAATGGAATTTGGATTTTAAACTTTGATAACATACTCCATGACGTGCTAAACTTTGAACCTTGTAATCAAACGGAATGGATTAATTATTAAGTTTAAGTAAAATTGATAAATTCACATATATAATGTTAGGAAGAAAATCTGACAGTGTGCCGGTGTATCGCAACACTAGCCTTATTAAAATATCAACGTTTATGTCCCCTCACTACATCTGACACTTCACTTGGTAACGAAAGCACGTCATTCGCACCAAAGGATTCTAACTAATAACGTCTAAAAATTGTTCACAAACTTATAGCAACTAGTAGCCGTGAGTTATCACTGTCGAATGTACAAAAACATTACTTCTCACCTCTATCTGACTTCTTACTAATATTATAAATGCGAAATCTCCAGAGCGGCTCAAAGGATCTTTACGATTTTTTTTTAATAAGAGAAGGGGGCAACGAGCGACGGGAACACCGAGCTGATCAACGACACCCATGGACATCTGCAATACCAGAGGAACTGCAGATACGTTGCAGGCCTTTAAGGAAATGGTATGCTCGCTTCTTGATGGTCCCTAATTGGAAATACCGCCGAGAAGAGACCGTTCCACAACGCGGCTGTGCGAGGCAAGAAATTGAATTTCACACAGATGTAGTCTAGAAGAACACTACATATTAAGTTTTTATTTATTTCGCTATACCGAGTCGCGGGCGACAGCTACTTTTAATTACATATTTTTTCATCCCCACGCAATTGCTTTTAAAAGGGGTACAAAATATTTCACTTCGTGTTTCGAATAGCAAACTTTTTATCGTACATTCAATTAATCGATGTTAAAGTTGATATTGCGATTTACTAGCTATCGCCCTTAACTCCGTTCGCGCGGGATTAAAAAAACTATTGGTCGCAGCATAATGTTATAGCCTGAAGCCCATATATCCAACAAAAAAGTTTTTTCAAATGGGACCAGTAGTTCCTGAGATTAGCGCGTTTAAACAAACTATTCAGCTTTATAATGTTAGTATAGATTATAAAATATTCAAAGTAATATCAATATTCAATCAACTTCTATTATCCCGTTTTTTTTTAGACAAAACTATGGGACATCACATTCTGAAAATATACCCCTCATTGTGATAAGATGCGAAAATTCGCAAAATACTATCATTCTGATAATTATATTATAACAAAAACATAAAGATAATAAAACATCATATCTTTATAGCTGTCTTTAGTTTTTAATAGTCATTATAATTTGACATTTTTATATGCTACGATAGATGAGTTACAAGTCTATGCCGCATGTAACAGAGTCCTGGGGAGTTAGACAAAGTGAATTCGCTTAGAAGCGATTCCATAGCGAACTTCAAAAATGTATAGAATTGTCAGTTACACATTTTTGAAGGTCGCTATGGAATCGCATTTAAGAGAATTCATTTTGTCTAACCCCTATGTCTTATGTTCACATAGAACTATCGGAACCCCTCTTTAATTCCACATAGTCTTCCCCCAAGAAAGCATCTTTTAGAAGATTTAAGATCCAAAAAACAATGATATATACAAAGTATCATAAGGTGGCAAACGAGCGAGCGGTCACCTGAAATCGCTGAAATAGCGAAGTGACCGTTGCCCATAGACACACGCAATTGCATATGCGTTGCCCACCTTTAATCGACGGAGGATAGGATGCACAGAAAGATAATATATTCCCTTTCCATGCATCCTCTCATCCGGAAAGTTCACTTCCCTTCTTCACCATCCTTTCCTAATAAGAAAAAAGGTGGGAAGGGAAAGAGGACTAAATTAGGCCTCCGGGACGCACGCTCATCAGACTGTACGAGGAATTGCTTCCACTTGACGCCTGTCTTCTGTGTGGTCGTGGTATTTCACTGAGCGAGCCGGGCCAATTCGTGTGAAGATGTTAAAGCGGGCTCTACCACTACACTAAAACATATCGTCATCTCTGTCATTATCTTTGACAAAACAGAGCTACCAATATGTTTTAAACGATGATTCTGGTCTTAGAAATGAACAGTCATTTCTTTAATCAAAAACCATAATAATAACATCTTTTAAAACACTTATTTTAATAAAAAAAACATAATAGTAGGGAGTAAAGAGGACTAAAATTAGGCGTTCACACTCATCAGACTGTACACGGAATTGCTTCTACTTGAGGCGTGTCTTCTGTGTGGTACGAAGATGTTAAAGCGGGCTTTACATATAAGTTATTATAAATTGCTAACTCAACAACATAGAAATAAATTTGGACAGTCATTACCGTCAGCAAATATAATTACGTACTCATACGTACTAGCATAAGTTCTGTTTACATACACATTTTGTCAAATCATCGTGATGTTATAAAATTTAGTTGATTCGCGAATATATTCATTGAAAAAATTGCAAATGACATTTTATTAAAGTCTTGTTTTAAATAACAATTTCATTGAAACTACGATAAGTTAGTTCAAGGAACTGGAATTTTTCTCTTCCTTTTATAATAGGTTTCTTATAATACTAACATGAGTTTCCTGTTTACAGATATAGACCAGTCTTACTTATGGAGATTATGTCATTAAAATCTGGTGATTCAAGACTCTCCTAACAGGGTTATTACTGGCTAAAAATCCTGGTCCTAAGAATGACTCTCTTTTGTAGATTTTCCTCATTTACCCAAGACAATTAAAAAAACTAGAAGTTATATTGTAATTAACGGTTATCAATAGCTTTTTTAACGTCACTTTAAAATATCTAGATACGTAACTTCTTGATATTAAATTTAAAGACCTTAAATTATTTAAAACAGACATACTAAACTGATATATATAAACGGGTAAACACTCACGTATATTTGTCCGGCGGCGGCACCGACTAGTTTCAAGCCCATCGAGGGCCCTTCATCAGGATGAGTGGTACTGGTATTATTTCGCGGACGCAGCCCGTCGCTCGCCCCCGATGGGCTCGAAACTAGTCGGTGCCGCCACCGGACAAATATACGTGAGTGTTTAGCCGTTTTTATATATCAGTTTTAAAGACCTTCCTAAACAAGGTAAGGTAAATCGTAAATTTTAGAAAGATGATGGAATAGCATTTTTTACTTTAACGATATTTTGTAAATGAATTAAATCTTTAAATTGATACTAATTAGTGTCATATGTCATTTATGCTATTCAAGTATGTCATCAGCTCACTATACGTCTCTATTGAGGGTCTCCGAGCCTACCTTAAATTAGACTAGGTCATAGTCAACCATTCTGCCGCAAAACTACGACAATTAATCTATGTGCTTTTAGACGTGATTCACTTTTGTATAAGATATATAACAAGACATACAGACTTTTTTTTATATAATAAGGTGGCAAACAAGCGAGCGGCCACCTGAAATCACTGAAATAGCGAAGTGAGAGTTGCTCGTAGACATACGTAATTGTATATGCGTTGCCTACCTTTAATCGACGGAGAGGATGTACAGAAAGAAATGTCCCTTAAATCCCTTTCCATGCATCCTCTCATCCGGAAAGTCCACTTACACTTCCCATCCTTTTCTTATAAGAAAAAGGATGGGAAGGAAAAGAGGACTAAATTAGGCCTCCGGGACGCACACTCATAAGACGAAACACGGAATAGCTTCCACTTGACGCCTGTCTTCTGTGTGGTCGTGGTATTTCACCGGGCGAGGACAATTCGTGTGAAGATGTTAAAGCGGGCTCTACCACTGTTAGACTTATTTTTATATGACGAATATCTTAAATTACACAGATTAAATAGTTTGAATATAACAAATAGTGGAGCTAACTTATGTAAGCAGTAAGGGGCGCTGCTATCGCGGTTAGTTTTGTTAGATATAAAACCTACTTAGACAAAAAAAACTATAATGTGTCTATTTAAGATAGATTAGTTTGGTAATTAAATTGACAATTCATTAGATATGGGTTGGGTGAAATCGATTAAGAATTTTTTAGATTTTCGATGGTATAATTAAAATTGTTTCTTTCCATTCCTACTTTATCCTTCATAACGAAATAAATTAATAAGATATTAAACCAAAAATTGAGGTGTTGAAGTTAAAAAAAAATTGTTTAGTAATTTGTGCGATACATAGTCAAATAACTGTAATAAATTCCAAAAATTTATAAAATAAGTAAATTATATTACTCATTTGTTGGATTAATTTTATAAAAAGATTTGATTCTCGACACTCCGACACTATCACGTACATTAAGTACAACATTAATTCTCATACAATACTAATTCTATACTTTATACACGTCACTTGTCAAACTAATCCATCTTAAATAGACACGCTGTACAAGAGCCTTGGGAAATTAACATGGCGCTAGTGAGCCCATGTCAGATGACTTTGTCATTTGACGCGGGAAAAGTAAATGTCAGTTATCATAAAATAAATATTTTTTATCTTAGTTAATAATTAAAAAATAAAAATATCTTACCATCGTAAAATTTGTAGTAGGAACTTAGATAGTCCGGGTACAAAACTGGATTTAAATACGATGATATTGGATAGTACGGGGCTGGATATGTATAATGCGCAACTGAGAGATCCATTTCTAATCTTTTATTATCTTTGTAATCTTTGGTGCGAATTTATCTTTTTTTCTCTTCTCCGCTATAGTTCATTAAGACAATGTCTCGTATCAACTGATTTCTTTTCAATCGAACAGCTTTTTTTGCAGAACTTGAAGCTGCTTGCGATTAACTAATCATTATTGGTCTTTATCATTTCCAATATAAAAGAAGGGGAAAGATAACAATTTATCTATAACGTCATTACTCGTTCCAAATTCGAATGTTTACAAACATTTTTAAATCGATTTTTGCATAATGACGTTGCTGTATCCGTTCGGAAATTTCTATCACACGTCAAATATATTTAATCTGTTTAAACAAATCTTGTTTTTCACATGTAATACTACATTAAACAAACCACTCGACTTTCCTTTGTCTCGGTATTACGTTATCTTCAACGAAAATAGACTTTGTCCGTGTATTTCCTTTAGCAAACTCAAATCACAGAGTCGTATTCTATTCTGTATTTAAAAGACCAGAGACAGAAATTATATCTTTTAAGTACTGATACAGGGACTTTTGTTAACGAATCACAAGTTGTTCGTTGTCTTCGCAATGCACAACAAAATCGACACAAACAGAAACAAGAATCAGGACTATGCACCTTTCTTGTCTTCACTTTACGTTTATTCAAAAAGTATGTCATATGTAGGCTTTTAATTAACGATATTATAAAGTCCAAAAGACAAAGATTTAAAATTTAAAAGTCAATATTGAATAAAATAATTTTATAACCAAAAAAATTGTCCACAACACTTAAAAATGTCTTTTTTCAACCACAAACGAATCACTTTACGTATATATTTTGCATTACAAATAATCTATAAACATAAGAAAAAATTCCCATTTTGAAAAAAAAAAAACGAAAAACAAAAAAAAATCCAACACCTAAATTCCAATTTCCGAACGCGACGAAAACTTTTACACAAATTAAAAAAAAAAAAATAAAAACGAGTCAACTGACAGCGCGCGTTACTAAATATGGCTGAATGCAATACACGCGGGGAATTAAATATCATTCAATGCAAATAAAATCTTATCTATGGGTATGTAAACATTAAGTTTATTTAATATTCGCACTGAGCCGTCCATTTTGACGGCCGCTTATTACGATCGCGGTAGATGACTAAACTATTTGATGAATAACGAATGTTAGGTCAAATGGATAACGATGATAAAATAGTACAAACTCATATTGATTTTTATATTTTGAAGTTTCATAACTATGGACAAGTTTGAATTGCTCAATATACTTTATCAGTTGAGATAAAAAACGTAACGTGAATATAAAAAGACGTAAAACATTTATATTATTAGCCCTGCTGACAATGTTAGCGCGCTGGACGAAGAAAGAAATCGTGATTGCGATATATCAAGGAATGAACGAATATTACCGGCGTGGAACATTTATTTCGCTTGGTACAAGATCGACGAAAGTTCACTGAGCTGACGGCCAACCTCCATTAAATGGAGAGGCACCTAGAGAGAGAGAGACAATGTTAGTGACAAAATCCTTTGAAAATCGGAATGTCATGTGTCACTTTGTTTGCCCTTATTACGTCTATATTTTCTGAAAGAACTAAAATGTCAGTACCTTCTAACAGGTCTTAGTTATTAGGGCCGATGCTTCAGAGACGAATTCGAATATATATTTGGTTTAATGAAGATATATTTGATCCATGAAAGTAAATAGACTGAAATACATCCAAAATAACCTATAGTTATAAATAGTGGTCAAACAGACCTATACACGTACAGTCGCGGAAATTGGCAGTGGTTTAATAATGCATTGTACCTTGCAAATCCCTTCTTACAAATAATAAATTAGATAGCAGTGAGAAGCACAAATATCATATCTTATATCTTTAAATGAGCAATTCTTGTATATATCTATATATATAATTGGAATCTCGGAATCGGCTCCAACGATTTTCATAAAATTTAGTATATAGGGGGTTTCGGGGGCGATAAATCGATCTAGCTAGGAATCATTTTTAGAAAATGTCATTTTATTCGTGTTTTATCGATAATCAACCTAAACATGAACTTAACTTTTTCTATAGGTAAGATCGAAAAATATTATTCATATTTCATCATTTTATTAGTAATTCGTACTTAAATATAATTTCCAAAAAACACAATTAAGAAAAAAATCCGAGCAAAGCTCCGTCATCCAGGTACTGATAATAAAAAGCATCTAAAAACTACAGATAGGTTGTTCTTGCGCGTCATCATCTCAATATGTACAAAATATTCAAACAACTGTGGTTTTTAAAGTGTAACACTACCAAATTCCCTGACTGTACTTTTTATTACGTATATCGTATTGCACATGATTAAGGCGTGGCAAACATTTGAGCAAACATTTGATATGACGTCATAAAGTAAAACCACGTTTACGATATGTGAAATGTAGAATATTTGTTATTTTTATCTCTGTTTTTTACAAAGAAAATGAAAGAAACGACAATAACATTGGTATTTACGCAAGATCGCGGATAAACTCGCACTTGACCTTTGGACGGGCTATAGGCGTGGTATTTTGTGCTCATTTGATTATCGCCATTTTGGTGTTAACGGTTGCGGAGGTGAGCACACGAAGTTATTAATATAGAGTTAATTAAGCTGTCATTTCCAAGCAACGTACAAACTATCTTACTAATATTATAAATGCGAATGTTTAGATGTATGTTAGAAGATATCTACAGAACAACTCAACAGATCTTGATGAAATTTGTCATACATATAGAACATAGTCTGGAAGAACACATAGACTACTATTTTTTTTTTTATAATTCCGTACGAACGGAGTCACGGAAGACCGTTTTAATTCCATAAATAAGTGTGCAATATTATTCGAATTCGATTTTAAAATTAGAACAAATTACGATTTAATATTTAAAATGTTGTCGTTTTTCAAATTAATTAAAAATGCGTTCGGAATAAATATTAAATTAACCTTTAATTCGACGAACTTTTTTGTAGCAAAAAAACCTGTTTTTTTTTATAAAGTCATAGTTACGTAATTTTCTCAACTATAATAGTTCAGGAGATTTTTTTTAATTAGTTGTTCATAACACTGGTCATCATCGAATTAAAGGTTAACAATCTTATAAATTAAAAAGCACGTAGAAAATTATTATCAAATGCATTTACTTTTTAAATACTCACAAGTTTGGACTTTGAACTGTTTATAATGTCTATAAAATTAATTCGATGTTGAAACAACGAGATAAAGAAAGATAAGAAGCCCTTGGAAATATCAAACACAAGCTGTCGCCTGCGACTCAGTTAGCGCGGCATAAAATCTTAATTAGTAGTCTATGTGTTCTTCCACAACAGTGGTAGAGCCCGCTTTAACATCTTCACACGAATTGTCCTCGTCCGGTGAAATATCACGACCATACAGAAGACACGCCTCAAGTGGTAGCTATTCCAACTACAGTCTGATGAGTGTGCGTCCCGGAGGCTTAATATAGTCCTCTTTCCCTTCCTTTTTTTTTATAAGTAAAGGATGGGAAGTGGATTTTCCGCATAATGCATGGGAAGAGATAATATTCTGTGCATCCTCCGTAGATTTAAGGTTTTGCGTATGTCTATGGGCAAGCGTTTCGCTATTTCAGCTATTTTAGAGCCGTTCGTTTGCAATCTTATGATATAAAAATTAGGAGTAAATTGAATCAGACAATTGGATTACGCATTACTACGAAGTGATAGCGAATTACAAAAACACATAGAACTGTTAATAACTTTAGATAAATCTAGTGATTGTCGCACGATTCTATACATATTTGAAGTTCGCTATGGAATCGTTTCGTAGCGAATGCACTTTGTTTTAGACAGATGTTGCCTCTACCACTGCAATGTAAATTAACCTAAAGAAATCAATTTAAAAACATTTCTAATCTTACTTATATAAATGCGAATGTTTAGATTTATGTTAGAAGATATCTCCAGAACTCAACAGATCTTGATGAAATTTGTCGTACATATAGAACATAGTCTGGAAGAACACGTAGAGTACTAAGTTTTTTTACAGCTAGTAAATAAATATGTTTAAATCCTACCTTCATTCATCGCCATATCCATAAGTTGTAGATCTTCGTCATTAAGTATTGCTTGAAGGAAGCCATCTTGATTTGGTGGCGCCATTTCTGCTCCAGAATTCTACAACAATATTTAATAATTAAAAAAAGAAGTATTTTAAAACACACAAAGATTGTTGTCCTTACTAATATTATAAATGTGAATGTTTAGATGTATGTTAGAAGATATCTCCAGAACAACTTAACAGATCTTGATGAAATTTGTCATACATATAGAACATAGTCTGGAAGAACACATAGATTAATTAAGTTTCTTTTTAATTCCACGGGCGAATGGATATATAAATCATAAGGTGGCAACCGAGCGAGCGGTCACCTGTAATCGCTGAAATAGCGAAGTGACTTGCCCATAGACATACGCAATTGCATATGCGTTGCCTACCTTAAATCGACGGAGGAGAGGATGCACAGAAAGAAAATATTTTCTCTTTAGATGCATCCTCTCATCCGGTAAGTCCCCTTCCACTTCCCATCCTTTCCTTATAAGAAAAAGGGTAGGAAGGGAAAGAGGACTAAATTAGGCCTCTTGTCACAATGTTAGTTACCATACTCCTTGGAAACAGCTTGACTGATTTTTATAAAATTTCGTAATCGTTATATAGAAATAGCGGTTTTAACTACATGTATATAAATATATATACGATATATACACCAAAATTACATTTTTTTTACAACTTTTGTCTGTATGTTTGTGTACAGGGATTTAAATAAAAAAACCCTTGTTTGCAGAAAAATGTGTTAATATTGTAGAACATGAATAACAGAAAGACATAGAAAAACTGATTTGACATTACTAAATTCAAAAGTTTAATTTCTTCTTTTTTCATTGATTTAATGGCTGCTAAAGCGTAAAAACTCCTTGAACATACCGGCCACCAAAGACTATTTTAGTCTTTAAAATCCTTAAAGACCGGCCACCGTGAGGGAATTTCTAAATATGTTTAGGCAAAATGATTTCAGCAACTGTCGTTTTAACATCGTGTTCTCTTTTCACTATACTGTCACGACTCGTACTAACTGGCCTGTGTGTAGCTGCATTATTCGACCAAGTAGCCATTTCGTTGGTGAAATATTCTCCTCTTCTATTGTATCATAATCCACTATCCCGTCGCCGGTGGTGTGTTCTCTACTGTTCTGTTCAAATCTTCTTGAATTTGGTGAATAGTTTCTTAAACACTAGATGTAAATGTTCCTCTTTGTTGTTACTATATTCTGCTGTAAAATGTGTTACTTTCTAACCGATAAAATCTGTGTTGTTCCTTCGTGTATTCTCAAACTCTAATAAACTTCTTTTAAATGTTGCAATAATTTCATTCTGATTTCATCTCCTTATATGTGTGTTGTTCTAAATTTGCTAACTATATCTCCTATAAGTTTGATGACATTTGCGTGAGTCTTTTCAAACGTGTTTTTTTAATTCGTTTGCTGCTCCGATGAGGTTTGTATCGTTATCTTTCCTTATATTCTTAAAATAACCTCTTCGGACCTTCATATTTACTGCGAACCTCGATTCATTGTTTTGAGAAGTGCATCCTTTATTATCAAATTCAAGATGTGTGTCTTATTAGGTTTAATAACAGGGTGTGTAAAATCATCTGACAAACTGGCATCATTCAACCTGCCTCCTAATCTCATCTGCCATCTCTATTTCTCTAACAAATGGATCTTCAGTTCTCAGTTTACATCTCCTTAATAAATTATGTAATTGTTCTCTTCTATCTGCAAATCAGTGTTGTTCTAATTCTTCTTAAAATCTGATTTCAGATCATTATTTCTTTGTTAGTGTTGTATTTAGTTTCAATTTGTTGTCATACTTAAATCATTGTAAATTACTTATCTCTATTCTTATTCAATTGATTAACTTATACTTACAAATGTTCACTATATCATCTCATTTGAAAATCAGCAACTCCTTTGTATAACTAAATATAAATATAGCTGTGCTTACTTTAGACTCCAAACAGTTGATTGACTCGAATGAGTGTGTACATCTGACGAAATGTGAC